CTCTTAGGGGGGAACAGGGAATGGAGATGATATAGCTGTGAGACTGCTCACAACAGGCCAGTTACTCCCGACTGTAGGAATTTTTTTTTGAGGTGTTCAGCTTAGAATAAGCTACTGTTTGAAGCAAATAAAAGCATCAAACATCAACAAGCAGCGGTCAAAATGGGAAAATTTTGGATTGTAGCTAGTTGCTGTCCTGAGCTGCAGTTGAATTTACAGCCTTGCCTTAAGAGTCAGTCTTCCATTTTGAGATCTTTCCATTCCTATCTGTTTTCTGAAATAGCAGCATAGTAGATCTACTTTCTAAACCTGCTTCCATTTAGTGGATATGTTGCTAAGTTTCAGGAAAGAAAAAAAACTTTTTATGGCTTGTTCCAGGCTAAGCTCTGTGCTGTCTCTTATGCTTTTCAGCTGTGACCTGTCCTGCCTTAGAAATGCCTGCTCATGGTGCTTTGAACTGCTCTCATCCCTCTGTGGAGCTCACCTGGGGTACCACCTGCGAGCTCACCTGTGAGGAAGGATTTACCCTGACAGGACCAGCCACGCTGCAGTGTGGGTCTTCTGGGGCCTGGGACAGGCAGCAACCATCCTGTGCAGGTACCTTTCCTTATCCGTGCTTACCTGAGCACTGGGGTTGTTGTCAGCATTGGCATGTTGAATTCCTGAGGCATCTGTGCTGATTGCTGTTGTGATCTGTGTGTTGCAGCTGTGAGGTGTGAGGCTGTAACCTGGCCAGAAGAAGGCTTTGTGACCTGTGACCATGCTCCTGCAGATCTCACCTATCGCTCGCGTTGTGATTTCCGCTGCAGCGAGGGCTATGTTCTGGATGGCACATCCAGCATTGAATGCATGGGGCAGGGACAGTGGTCAGCGCCAGTGCCAAAATGCAAACGTAAGACTTACTGGGTTGGAAATCATCAATTAAAGCTTAGAGTAGCTTGAATAGTCTGAAGAGACTTCCTCATTCAAGTGTAATCAAGGAATAACAGTCATCCCCAGCGTGTTTATAGCACTTTTCATAAGCAGGTTCTCAAGATGGGGATCATTTAGCCTGTTGTGTTAAAGAGGAAACAACAGTGCAGTGTGACAAGCAACACTCGGGAACTGTGTCCCCAACACATATGATAACAGGCTTTTGAAGTGGAGTGTTCTGACAGGAACTCTTTATTCCCTGCACTCCAAATGGGAGCCAGTGTCTGTTTATGCAGTCCACTTGTGGAGTATAATCTGGAGCCAGTCTCAGGATAGCTGGCATGTTTTAGGTGCATGTTTAAGTGTTCCGGCTGGACTGTGCAACATGCTGAAATCCCTGTTTCCTGAGACACTGCCAGGTCTGAAGGGAAGTACTATGGCTCTGTAGGGGACAGCTTCAGGCAGGGCATGTCCTCTTGTCAGCTCAAAAAGAGTGTTTATTTTGACCTACTCCAAGCTAAACTCTGTGTTGTCTCTTATGCTTTTCAGCTGTGACCTGTCCTGCCTTAGAAATGCCTGCTCATGGTGCTTTGAACTGCTCTCATCCCTCTGTGGAGCTCACCTGGGGTACCACCTGCGAGCTCACCTGTGAGGAAGGATTTACCCTGACAGGACCAGCCACGCTGCAGTGTGGGTCTTCTGGGGCCTGGGACAGGCAGCAACCATCCTGTGCAGGTACCTTTCCTTATCCGTGCTTACCTGAGCACTGGGGTTGTTGTCAGCATTGGCATGTTGAATTCCTGAGGCATCTGTGCTGATTGCTGTTGTGATCTGTGTGTTGCAGCTGTGAGGTGTGAGGCTGTAACCTGGCCAGAAGAAGGCTTTGTGACCTGTGACCATGCTCCTGCAGATCTCACCTATCGCTCGCGTTGTGATTTCCGCTGCAGCGAGGGCTATGTTCTGGATGGCACATCCAGCATTGAATGCATGGGGCAGGGACAGTGGTCAGCGCCAGTGCCAAAATGCAAAGGTAAGACTTACTGGGTTGGAAAATACAGTTTTCTTGTCACTAGATAGCACACTGAAATCCATATTCCTATAGGGTCCTGGCTCCAAACTAAACTCTGTGTTGCCTCTCATGTTTTCATCTGTGACTTGCCCTGCCTTAGAAATGCCTGCTCGTGGCTCTGTGAACTGCTCCCATCCCAAAGTCAAATGAATTTGAAAATACAGTGTACATCTAGTAGGGCAAAAAATAGGGCCAAAGACAGGAAAGTCCTTAATGACTCTTAACCATTTCTTTTTGTATTTCAGTTGTACAGTGTGAACCTCTGAGCTCTCCTGAGAGAGGCTCTATGGATTGCTCACATGGTGCTGGGAACTTCACGTACAACACAGCCTGCCACTTCAGCTGTCTGGAAGGATGGAGGCTCAATGGTTCTCATGTTCTTGAGTGCAGTCATTCAGGAAACTGGAGTGCTAGTCTGCCCACATGTGAAGGTATTTGACCTGTGACTAGCCACAGAGAGGTGGCACTGAGTTTCTAGTCAAATGAGGTATGGAAGGGTGGAAGAGGTGACACCAACCAGTAAGCTAGAACTTCTAGTGAAGTCCATGAATTAAAAGGCCCAACAAAATCTCTCATATGTTTTTAGAAAATGGAAGGGGGGGGAAAAATCCTAAAAGGTCTTGGTGAAAAATGTTGATTTCTTACCCAAAAACAAAAGCCGCAACCTGATTTTGGGTTGGTTTGTTTGGTTTTTAATTAAAATATTTCTCATGTTGAGCTTTTTCCATATGAATAAAGAAGAAAGCTGCTCTAGAGAAACAGTGTCTTGTGGGGAAATCTGCATTCATAACTGTCTCTCAGTGGAAAAGTTTATAGATTTGTTAATTTGGTGTGATAGTTTCTTGGGTGAACTCCTCAGCCAAAAGACCTCACAGAGCTTTTCTGTCAAAGGCTGTAATTTTACAGTCTCAGCCTTGCCTTCCCATTCAAGGCAGTAAGAGCTCTGTCCCTGTCCTCAGTGGGAACATACTTGTCCTGCCTGAAATGCTTTTGCTTGAGGTCCTGAAAGCTCAAGTCCACTTTATTTGCTTGAGCAGAATTTAGATCCTTGAATAATTTCATTGATCTCAATGGATTGCTCAAAGAGGAAGACAGCACAGTGGGAATTAAAATATGAACTGAAACTTGAAAAATAGAAGATGAGCATAAATTGTCATGTGAGTCTGGAAGTTAGACAGACCCTGGTATAACTAGCTTGTTGCCTTGCCATTGCTTTGGCAATGAATGGGATAATTTTTAGGATGCAGCTTTTTACCTTGTGTTCAGGATGTGTCCTGTCTCAGCAAGAGAAAACTTAAGGGTTACAAGCTGCAATTCTAGTTCCTCTTGAAGAGCACAAGGAAAAGGAAGAGGGCTTCAAAGACCTCACATGCCTCTTGATCTCACTGAAACTTTTTCATCCTTTCAGCTTCTGAACAAGTCGGCTATGTCTCTGTGGGCATAGCAGCCACAAGTGCCTCTCTGTTGTTTACGGCATCATTCCTCCTTTGGCTTGCAAGACGTTTCCAAAGAAAAGGTAAGCAATTGGATTGGGTCCACTGGTTTTATTTACCTTCCTGAAAAATTTTCAGTGGAGGAAAAAAAAACACCTCCAAACCCCAATACCTTGCTTTTTGGAAAAAATGAAAATATCCATACTTAAACAAATTCCAAAATTATTTTCAAGAAGCCTGCATGCATGCCATGTTTGGCTTTTGGATGAACATTTAAAAATCAATAATAATAAAAAACAAATGTTTAGAAAACAAGAATTAGAAGAAAAAAAGAAACATTCTATTTATCAGTAATTACTGCCAGGGAAAGTGAATGGGAATTAGAGATGGGGCTAATGACAACACAGTATTAACTGCCTGTCGGATTTGTTGCTAGATAATGGCTTTTTATCAGATATTCAGAAACGAGAGGTTTTTTAGTAGAGGAAGAAGTTTGCATGATGGGGCTTTCATCTTGAAATGCTAATGCCTTTTCTTATTCTTCTTGCAGCAAAGAAATTTACTCCTTCCAGGTAAGTTGTGTCTCAAAAAGCAGCATGAAAAATGCTGCAATCACTTTGCTAAAATCCATTTGATATAAACCAGTTGTCAAAGTACTTTTTGTTTCTGTTTTTTATAGTAGCTGCCAGAGCCTAACCATTGAAGGTAGCTTCCAAAGTGCTGGCCAGAATGTCTAACTCCAGGTGTTTCAGGTAAGCACATGAGACAGCTGCACTCACAAATTCTCTTCCTTTTAATCACACAAGCAATCAGAGCTGTTAATTGCTATACAATTGCTGAAATAGTAATATGTGCTTTGGGGTACCTAATATGCATCTTGGCATTGCATGAAAGTTCCTAACAAGACTGATGGATTTATTGCTTTAGAAATGGTTATTCAGCTCCTTAAGGATGATTGTGCTTAGCGTTCTGTCCAGCCGCATAGAGTATTGGGAACACTTTTGTGTGTTTTTGCTACCTGCTGCATAAAAAATTCCTCTGAAATGAGAGCAAATAGAAATCTATGCCAGTTTTCCAATTTATAGAGGAATTTTGTTCTCTCTGCAGGAATTGAAGCCATCTTTACTTAAGTCTCAGAGATTTCTGGAGAATGAAACTGCATGCAAATCAGCAGCTGTCCAGATGTTTTTACCTCTTGCTGACAAGATGATTGACCTTGTGTATGGCTCAGAAATTTTGAGCTCAAGCTGTCTGGTATTTCCATTGAAAAAAAGCAGAGAGTAAAACTCTGGCCTTCTGGCAAAATACTGTCTACATTCAGTCATGTAGTTATCATAACTGGGAGCTTGCCATCTCTTGTCCAGATGGTGAGCAAATAGTAAGCTGCTGCCTAAAGAGGAGGCTGGTTTCTCCTCTGGTCTACTCAAAGGTACCTAGGTGAGGTGAAGACATGCATTATTTCACATCACTTACTACACTGCTGGAGATGTCTTCTCTGGAGACATACGGGTTATACTTGCAGAAACAGAATAATCGGGATAAAAAAATATTTGTTGAATAGCCTTGAAACCATTGATCCTGGTTTATTGTTGAGGTTAGTTTGTTTTAAGAGGATGTCCCAATCAATAAATATGCCTGTAGCGATATGGGCAAATTTTTTTTTTTTTGTAATAGCACTAGGAATCATAGTGCTTATACTGGTACTCTGGTTTCTGAATGCAGCAAGTAGGTCTGAAATTATCTCATCCCTGTGGGATTATGCACTGTAATACAGGTGTATACATAAATATTTAACTGTGCAGTTTTTACTGTGGATATTTCTGTGCTGTTAACTGTAAATGTATTGTAAAATATCTGTTCCTGAGTAGGTCTGTGGCCATTGATCTGGGCCCAGGTAATTTAAAAATAATTCAGAGGTGTTTGTAAGGATTTCGTGCCTGCGTATTATTTACAAATAAAATGGAAGCCTGAGATTTGTATATATATATTGCAAGTATGGTTTATTAAGCTGTTAAAGGACTTTAAATGAGAAAGTCTTTCTTAATAAGTTATGTTCAAGTTATAATCATAAATTAAGAATCTCTGACTTAAAATCTGATATGTATTGTCCTATTTGTAATAGTATTTAATAAAATGTTTTAAATCTAATGTTCCCTTTTTGGAAACGTACATCATTTAAATGATTTAGGTCAGTCCTTTGGGATATGGTTTCAGCAGCAGAATGAGGGGTTGGGGGAAGACTGGCTAAATAGCAAGGTTGTCCCTTACTTAGCTTTCCATGTTTTCATAGCAGTCAATGAAAGAGTAGCCAGCAGATGGCACTGACTGCCTGGGAGCTAGCACAGCCAGAGCTGGACCCCAAACCAGCATCCCCAGTCCTGAAAGGAAGAAGGAAGGCTCAGTGATGTGTCCTGTAAAGCAGATGCCTGGACCAGCAGTGGGCTTTGCGAGAGGCATGCTCAGGAGGGAGAGGAGAGCAGAAAAAGAAGCAAGTAGGTGGTCTTGGTGCATAGTTAACAGCACAAACCCCTCAGCCCATGGAAGTCTTTTGCAGGCCTTTCTGCTGGGAAGCTAGCTGAGTGTTAGGAGACCATGGGCTAACAGGTGAAAGCACAGCTCTGGGGGTTAGTGATGACTGCTGTCTAGGGACCTCCATTCCCACCCTGGCTTGGGCTGTAGCCACAGACTCTGCCATGGGCTAGTGCTGGCCAGGTGCCAGCGATGGCCAGACACTCCTGTGGCCACCCTTCCCCAACCCCTGACATAGCCAAGGAAACTGCACTGTGGCTCTCCATAGCTGCTGCCAGCAGCCAGCCCTTGATGATAAACCATGAGATGCATGCTCAAGAGAAGCCATCAGGCCTGTGAGCAAAGGAGTCAATTAAGAGGTGCTGTGCCACAGTGGACAGGGCCCATTGCTGTTTATCCCAAACCGATTAACGAACTGAGAGTGGCTGTCAGCGCTTCCCCCGCCTTGACAAGGTGGGGCCCAACCGTGTGAGCAGATGTAGAGCAGTAATCCTTCAGGTTCCCTGAGGGGACGTAGAGATTAGCCTGAAACGCCCTGCTCTGAATCCCTGCAGGAGCTGTTCTGAGAGCTAAACCACCACATGGGTCCCCCAGCCTGTCCTTGTTGTTGTCCTCTATATGTATGGCCCTGTAGCATCCTCTGGAGAGAGCCCAGCTTCTCCTTTCCCAGGAGTTGATCAGAGCTGGTGCTTCTAGCAGCTTTCCTGGGATTTTACATGGGCTTTATTGCCAGAAAAGAGACTATAAAATTATCCCCTCTCTTTCTCCAAACCTTCATCCCTTGTGACTTCCAGAGGCAGCAGGAGTGAGACCACGTTTGAGTGGGATTAGTCCTCTCTCTCCCATATAGGCCAGACAAAGACTCCCTGAAGGGGATCCCCTTCCTTCCAGTGACTTACAGGTTACATCTATCCTCATAATTAATGTTAGTCCAGGACACAGGCAAAACCCTAGCCTGTGCTTGTCCAGGTCTCTTGATTCTTGATCCTCTCCTGGCACTGTTTTTTCCTCCTTCAGGATATGAATTACCAGTTATGATGGCATGGTGCGTCCAGGCCTTCAGGATCTTCAGGAAGTCATTTTATTTGCAGTGGATGTGTCTCTGTCACAGTGCCTGTGAACACAGCTCTTCTGTTGTTTGCTAACTGTATAGTTCCCGTGCTGGCAAGAATGGCCATGGGAACGCTTACTGCCAGGCAGTCATTTAGTAACTCCATTGTATCACTCCTCTATATGGTGCAGTGCTGTGCAACCACCGAAGGGCCACAGGGTCTTTGCTGGAGGGACTTTCCTTAT